CCTGTTGTTGGCGTGCGTGGAATGAGCTGTTGTGGAGACGAGGCCACAGCTCGTACATGCCTGCATCTCACGTGGGGCAGTGGGATTGAAACCTCAAATATGGGCTTTTTAATTGGGTTTAGGGTTTGAATGTAATGGGTTTTGGTGAATGAACCTTTGGGGCTTTTTAATATTTTGTTTTTGATATTTGATATCCAAAGAATGTCTTAAATTTATGTTATCAGCAAACCCCAACTTGCAATTAGACGAAGGTTTGAACTCGAGGCCAAATACAAAATTTCGGGAACAATCTTTCAAAAACGTCTCTTAACTCTCGAATTGATCTTCGATCGCCTTTTAACCAAATTTGGATTGTTTGGACAAAATTAGAGTATCACAAGGATCAAAATCAAACATTTTCGTCAAGAAACGAATGGTGTGATAGATGCATTGGCTCAACTTATAGGCACTGGAATACCAGGTATCGCGATACTGCAACATTCGTTGATTGTGTTCAAAACCTTCTTCACTTGGACTTGTATGTGGAATATATCAATATACCACTGCTTATGCAGTCTTTATTTTGTAACAAAAAAACATATCTTTCATGTAACTTGTCCTTATATATATATATATATTTGTTGGTATATAAAAGAATTAGGCTTAATGAAAAAACAACTACTCAAACTATATATTAAGTTAACTTTAGGTGCATAAAGAATTTTTTGTTAAAAATATGTGTTAAACATTTTTTCCGTTATACTTTTAGGTGTCTACCGTTTAAAAAAACTGTTAAATAACACCTGTCATGTTTATATAGTTTTTTGAAATTTTATTTTTTTTAAAATTAACTTAAAATTATTATTATTAATTTTAAAAAAACCCAAATATTTCAAAAATATAAAAAAGACTCCTAAGATTCCTAAACCCAAATCATCCAACTCATTTACCGATCACCATTGTCACTGTGGTTATCATCGGCCGCCATTGTGAGGTCACAAATTTCAGCAACGCTCGACCAACCGATCAAATCCCCAACATTGACGATCGACCAAAACCATTTCCTAATTTATATTCCATTTCGGGACACCCATTTCAAGCCGTAAAGATATGTTGAAGCCCATTTCCATGGCACCATCTCCGATGACTACCCCTTAGAAAAAAATCGTAAGTAATATATAATGAAAAGAAAACAACTTCTGATTACCACGACTTCACCAACGCCAACATGAACAGGTCCCGTCTTCCACGATTAGGCTACTGTAACAGAAAATTTCAATCCTCAATTCTTTAATTTTAAATCCAACCGCAAATGATTCAATCTCAATACCTAAATCCTTAATCAACAGCGGTAATGGCGGCTGGCTACAACTATAACGAAAATGACAACCGACAAATGAGTTCGATGATTTGAATTTAGGAATCTAAGGGGTCTTTTTGATATTTTTGAAATATTTGAACTTTTTAAATAATAATAATATTTTAAGTTAATTATAAAAAATAAAAATTTCAAAAAAAATATAAACATGATGTGTGTCATTTAACGATCTTTTAACAGTGTAAGGAAGAAAACGTTAGGCACTTATTTTTAATAAAAAAATTGTTTAGACACTTAAAGTTAACTTAGGATATAATTTTAGATACAATAAATCAAAATGATTATATGTGTTTTCTACAAACAAAATAATCCACATAACATGTAACATTTTATAACAAAAATATTAATTTATATAAATAACTTTTGAATTAATTCTTTATGGGAAAAAGGCAGGAGTCATGTCCCCCAAAATGTTAAATTGTAACTTTTTCCCATTAAAGTTTTGAAGCTATAAAGTTAACTAATGGTAAAATTTTATTCCGGCCTTTAAAAGTTAAAGAATTTTAGTTTAATCTCTTAAAAATTATACAATTAACAAACTAGTAGAAAAATAGAATTTTAGAATTTTTGAGTCATATTTTCAATGGGTAAATGTAGAGATCTGAGTCATAAAATTATGGTTTTAAATTCTATTACATGAGATCTTTACAACGGTATATCATATGCTTAAAATTGTTAAGTAATTAATGAAAAATCGATACTAAGCTACTTGTGAATTGTGTTGATTAAAATGGAAAGCTTATATCCCACATTGGTGGGATACCAAGACTTTGCCTCACGCGTAGGCGTATGAGGTGCGAATTCGAATTGGTCAGACCCTCTAGATGCTTGCAAATATTTTCGAATTTTTTTCTCAAATTGAAATTGAATTTAATGGTTTTTTAATCCATACATTATTTTAAATAATTGTTACCTTAATTCACAAGACGGAAATATTATGCATTAATGTTTCCTTAAATATCAAACGAGAATATTAGGAATTAATGGCTCCTTGATTCGCAAAATTAAATTAAATTAAATTGGATTTAATGACTCCTTAATTCAAACATTATTTTAGGTAATTGCTACCTTAATTCACAAGACAAGAATATTATGCATTAATGTTTCCTTGATTATCGAACGAGAATATTATACATTAATGGCTCATTGATTCTGGAAATTAAATTAAATTTGATTTAATGACTCATTAAATTAGAATTAAATTAGATGGGAAGTTATTAAAATGAGAGGAAATGACCAAGTAAGAATTGAGGTGATTTTACCGAAAAATCATATTGAAATATTTTATTTACATGTCAAACACCTTTTTAGAAAATATTACTGATCTAACACCCTTTGCAGAAAGGTTCGGATCATCATTCACGCCTTACGCTCACGTAACGCCAACTTGAATAAAGCGCGGATGATGATCTGTGCCTTTCTGGGATAGGTGTTAAATTCGTAAAAAATTTTAAATAGTACCTGACAGTTAATTAATTTCTGTTAGGATGATTTTTATATAAATATGCTACAAAATATTAAGAAAATAGTTTTTTTTGTTTTTTTTGGGAAAAATATAAAATTTAATTAGCTAATTATTTTCATTTTCTATCTTCAGAAAAATTAAGTCATATGACCATAAAGAAAATCATGTCTCTTTCACACTTATCATTTTCTTCAAATAATTATTTTTTCTTTTTTTAATAAAAATTTTCATTAAATCCTATAAATAAGATAATAAAATACATTTTTTTCTTCAAAATTAATAATAATAATAATGAAAAATAGTGCCAATAAACTTTGTCTCGTCTCTTGATTTTGTCATTATTTAACCAATCTTTTTTGTGTTGAATATGTTTTTAAATTTAATTGAGCTTCAAAGTTATTCTTAAATACGTTAAGATTATATATATATCGAGTATAAAATTCTTATAAATCTATATTTTAATATGTTTCTGATACGCTGATTTTATGGTTTAAGGGGATATGATGCTTAAGGGGATATGATGCTTAAGGGGATGACGCACATTTAATGGTTTACTAGTATTAACTCATTAAATTTTTATTAATGTGTGATGTCAATAAAAGAATACAAATTAATGACTCAATTATCAAAATAAAACGAATTAAAAATATAATAATAATAAATAATTTTTTGAAAAATCAATGATAAAAACTCAATTATCAAGGTCAACGTCGGTCTTGTCTAAGGTAAACATCACTAGTTTATTGGTTAAATAATGTCAAAATTAAGAGACGAGAAAAAAAGTATTGAAACTATTTTTCATTATTATTATTATTTAAAAAAATATATTTTATTATCTTATTTCCAGGATTTAATGAAAAATTTTATTAAAAAAGAAAAAAATAATTATTGGAAGAAAATGATAAGTGTGAAAGACACATTATTTTCTTTATGGTCGTATGACTTAATTTTTCAGAAGATAGAAATGAAAAATGATTGGCTAATTAAATTTTATCTTTTTTCGAAAAAAAACAAACAAACCTACTTTCTTAATATTTTGTGGCGTTTTTACATAAAATCACCCTAACAGAAATTAATTACATGTAAGGCATCGTTTTAGAAAATTTTACAGATCTAGCACACATCCAAAAAAAGCACAAATCATCATCCAACTCGGATAAGGCGCAGATGATGATCCGTTTCTTTCTGCAAAGGGTATAAAATTTTCTGAAAGGGTGTCTGATAAGTAAATAAAATCTATTAGGGTATTTTTCGGTAAAATCATCAAGAGTTGAAGGCTTGCAAAACCATACACTTGTAGCTAACTTTTCCCTCTTCTGTACTCGCAGACCAAAGGCGGTGGGATGTTTGAAAAAAATTATAGTATTTTTAGTAAATTAGATATAAAATCATTGTTTAATAATTTATTTGATGTTTTACTAGTATTTTAGGCGTAAAACTAAGTATTTACCTTTTTGTTAATCTTGTCACATCATCAATTTAACGGGATAACAATAGTGATCATTTTATTACAAATCTCTAACGTTAGCGACTAATATATTACTTTTAAAACTTCAGTGGGGAAAACGAAAATGTACTCAAACATTAGTGATCGTTTGTATAGTTTACTAAAAAATCAAAGGGTAAAATATATCAATGATCCCTCAATTAAAGGATAATACTTTATTGAGTTCATCGACTATTAAAAGTTACAAAAATGGTCACCCAACTACTGATTATATTCCAAACTTATCATTTTTCATTAAAAAATTGACAGCAATCTGAGTTGAACGTTAACATGCTGATGGAGATATGATAAAATCTGGTCTCATAATCTCAAAAGACTATTATATCTCAGTTAGTATGTTAATGTCCAGCTCAGACGACTGTTAATTTTTTAATGAAAAATGACGAGTTTGATATATAATGAATAGTTAGGACTATTTTGTAACTTTTAATAATCGAGTGATCATTTGTGTACTTTACCCAAAATTAAACTATTAATCATCTAAATAATATAATATAATATAATTTTGGGTTTACTTGATCTCGTTTCCATATCTATTACGTGTGAGGGTAATAATCCCTTAGAAACGTACAAAATGGAGGACATAGAAAGAGAAAGAAAAAGAAAAATGAAGGAATATATATATAGAGAGAGAGGGAGACAAATCCGCTGTTTGAATTGAGCCCATAGAATTGTAATTGCAGGTGGATGATCATGGCCCCTGGTTTTCCCTTCTCTCTATCAAATACCAACTCTTCACTTCTTTCACATTAACCCTATTCCCTCTCCCTTTTATACCTTCCTCTCATTCCAATCACCTTGTCCTCTTCACCAAACAGCGCCTACAGAGATGCAATCCTTCACATCTCTGTTTTCATTCGGTACAAATATCCCATCATGAATTTTACCCCAAAACAAGGGGGAAAAAGAATCGTTTTTTACTAGACTCTTTTGTGCCCTCTGTTTCTTCTGTTCAACACCCTCTTTTCATCTGTTCATCGACATTTCATGGTTCTTTTCACTTTTTTTGTTATACCCAGATTTTGATTCTGAATTTTGAATACACTTCGGAAATACCCATATGCATTTGACAGAGTTGATTCAGGATTCTAAATGGGGAAAGCGACTGAGGGTGATATAAAAGAGAAAGGTTTTAGTAAATTGGACCAGGAAACCGAAACAAATACAGAGGACACGAATGGAGTTTCCAATACGAATAAAAATAGAAATACTACTACTTCAGATAGACGGGGAAAGAATAGCAGGCGGCGGCAAAAGAAGATGGTGACGTTGTCGGCGTCTTCCGTCGTGCACCCGGTTCAAAGGCTTTTCAATGCTTGCAAGCACGTTTTCGCCACTGCCGGAACTGGATTCGTCCCGTCTCCCGATAAAATTGAACAGCTTAGCGCTCTTTTGGGTATGATTTTTTTATTAGATCCTAGGATTGGTTGACTTTTTGAGTCCAAATGTAGTTTTGATGAAAAAAAAAATCCTTAAATTTCTTAATATTCCAATTTTTTTTTATTTTGATTGAAATTTTCAGAATAATCAAGCATGATTTTCTGAAATTCGTTCAGCATTTGTTTTACTGAACAATCTTTTCACACTCGTACTCTTAAAAATGTCTGCATTCTTTTTTCCCCTCCAACATCTGTATAATATATTCATACTCATTTCTATCCCTGCAACATCTTTTCTCCTATCTATTTGTTTGTATATGAAGATGATATGAATCTGATATCATAAACTGCTTGCAGTCACATTATTTAAGAAAAAATGTAAAAAAAAATGTTGGGAAATGTACCATTATTGTTGCTTTTTAAATGTTTATGTAGTGGGATGAGTGAATTGTTATTTATTCATGCCAGTCTTGCATATGGTCCATTATTGCATGTAATTTTTTGCTTTTCTCTTGTGAAAGTCTTTCAATTAATTATATTACAACTAGGTATCAGGTGTTCCAGTCGTTCAGATGTTAAATGGAAAAATGTATGTATTCAGTCTTTCAATAAATTATATGAAACCTTAGTTATTTGTGATGCAAGCCTTCTCATCATGTCTGTATTCAGTGGCCATGTGTGCATACTAAAATCTGAATTTCTTTTTGTGTACGTATGGTGTCCACGCCTTGGATCCGTCATCGTCTGTATTCGGCTACTTATATGATACAACCTTAATCAGATACTAGTTTTTGTTGTTTTGTGTAGATGAAATTCAGCCGGCTGATGTTGGTCTTACTTCAAAGATGCCATTTTTCAGTCCGCAAGTAACTCGTCGAGCTCCAACGATAACATACCTACACATCCACGAGTGCGAAAAGTTTTCGGTAAGCACAGCGTGTGTCTGCAGGCCAGGCCATAGTTTGTGATTCAAGTAAATGCTAAACTGTGTTATCATTAATAGGACTTATCTAATGCAGATTGGCATCTTTTGCTTGCCTCCATCCGGTGTCCTTCCGCTTCACAATCACCCTGGAATGACTGTATTCAGTAAGCTTCTCCTTGGGACTATGCACATCAAATCATATGATTGGCTTGTGGATCCTTCACAATGTAAGTACTTTTTTTTTTCCTTTCGAAGATTACATGTGTTTATATCTGTTTTCGACGTAAAAAAGAAGCAGGGGAGGCAGAGGCTAGGCTTCATTTTGTGACCACTGATATATAATGTAGATTTTTGCTATGTTCAAGTTGTGTTATTGATGACAATAGTTGCAAGCCTCATCCTTGATGTACATGTACATGTAAAGAAATTACTGATGCTACTTTTCTTTGTTCTTGTAACAGCAGCGCCTCAACATCCGAATGTCCGTTTGGCTAAGGTTAAGGTCGACGCCGACTTGACTGCTCCATGCAAGACCTCCATACTTTACCCAGCTGATGGAGGCAACATGCATTGCTTCACTGCCGTGACAGCATGCGCAGTGTTGGATGTTCTAGGCCCTCCATATTCCGATCCCGAAGGACGGCATTGTACGTACTACTCCGACTACCCTTTCACGACATTCTCGGGTACTCTTACAGATGATGAGAAAGTGTCAATACCAGAAGAAGAGAAAGAAAAGCTAGATTGGCTTCAAGAGAGGGACAAACCTGAGGATTTGGTGGTTGTTGGAGCAGTATACACTGGTCCTGAAATTGTGGAAAACTGATATGCGAGCCCTCACACCATATCCTGTAATACCAAAAAAAAGAAATCATTTTCTTATCCTTGTTGTCTTGTCGGTGGCTGCTGTTTCAGCTTTAGAAGCTTCTATTTAACTTTTTTTTTCTTAGTGGGACATGGGTAGTAAATGATCACGAGACACAATTTTAATATACGATTAAAAAAATGATATCGATTTTATTATTATTTAAATAATAAAATTGATAAAAAATTATTGAAAATATTATTATTTCTATTGATTTTGTTATTATTGAACGTTTTATCGATTTTGTTAACAAAATTAGTAAAGCATTATCGGTTTTGTTATTTTTTTTATCGATTTTATTATTTTTTCTATTGATTTTGTTATTGTTTAGCACTTTATCGAAAATATTAAAAAATATTAATATTTTAAATAATTTTTTTATCGATTTTATTATTTAAATAATAACAAAATTAATAACATCATTTTTTAATATATTTTTTAATTATATATTAAAAGTGTCGTATTGTAGAATTTTTTGACATGAGTACTCGTTTTTTTTTTCTTACAATTTTTTTTTTGTATATAAATAGACAAAAATAACCGAAAAAGGGCGAAAGTGTTGTAAGTGCATGGGATGATGTTTGTAGGTGAATGAGAAAAAAGAGTGCACCTTTCCTTTTCCAATATAGTCCTTCATATTTTCCCTTCTGTCATTCTGTAAATGATTCAACTTGACATGTTGAGACTTGTAACAGACAATAAATTTATTTCGTATTTTGAACTGAGCACGTAATGTAACAAACATAATAACGAATCAGCAACCAGCTACTATATCTATTAAGCAAGGGGTTCAAATCTTATTGTTTGCGAATAAAATAATTTGGGTTGGTAGAATCATCCTTGCTTCTGCAATACTCAATTCAAATTAATTAATCAATGGACAAGAAATCGGTGGTTATAACGTATCGACTAATTGATATTGGTGCTTATTGCTAATTTTCTATATTTTCTATTTTTTATATTTTATTATATTACATATTTATTATTTCTTTTGAATTTTTAGTTTTTAATAATTTTTCTTTATGGCATGTATTTATCGATTTTTTGATACGTTCTCGATCTTTTTTATTAGTTGTTTGAACTTTCTTTTTGATTAATTTTTGTAAGGTTAGATTTGATGTCGCATCGATTAATTAATATGACGCTTATTTGTTATAATGTTGATCTTTCCAGTTTTAGATCTTTGGATTGAACTCGGATACACAATTTGCGATCACATATAGCTTTCTCACGATGCTCGATTCTAATTTGCATTTGTCGATGGTCTAGTTTAATCCCTTGTTGTGGTTCATTTTTTGATGCAGTCAGATTTATTTGTATCCGTATTTTGTTCGAGTTTTAACATTTTTCTTGTATGGTCATTGTATGACCTCAAGTGACTAGTTTATTATGTCAATGATTATAGGAAAAAAATCTTAATTATGTGTTTGATTTACGAACTTCATTGTAAATTTAAATGTTTTTCCTTTTAATAAAATCGTGTCTCCTATTTAAATAAAAAAATAAAATATTAATATAAAATTATATGAATTTTTTTTAACAAATTATATGTGATATATATATATATATATATATATATATATATTTACTACAATACTCAACGTTAAAAAATGTTTTATATAATTAAATATTTTGTATTTTCTTTTATGTTGAAGTAAATTTGTTCATGTAATAAACTCAAATTATTGATTTTATCACTATATTTAATTGTACTAATTATATTCTCGTTACATTTAATTATACTAATTTTACTTGGTTAAATTAACTTTTGCATTTGATTCACGTTAGTTACGATATTGATATAACAATTAACAATGTTAATATGTCAGTTTACGGTGTTAATGTAGTAGTTTATGAAATTGATACGATAGCCCGCATATAAATAATGATATAGTACGGGGATTTAATTAATTTTTTGGTCGAATTTGATGATACAATTGATTTTAATTGAAAGTTAAATAGAATAATTAATTTTAATTCAAAGTTTGAGATTTATTAATCTTTAAATAAAAAATTTATTAAAATTTTAATAATATTAAAATTAATTAAAAGTAATATATATTTTTATTAATATATATTAATTATGAAATGTAATTGAAAAGAGAAGAGGCGTGAGACATGTCATAGGCGGCGTGGCATTGTATGGGAGTGTAGTTGAGGTTTGTTAAAACAATCACATTTCGTGATTCTTTCTTGGTTAAACTACATGTTTAATATTTAAATTATTATTTTTATTTTATTTTGTATTCAATTCTATTTTTTAAAAATTATACTTAATTTTTAGTTTAAGTTTTATTTTGGTACCCATAATTATAAATTTAATGATGATGCTGATTAGGATGGTCACGGGATCTGAACCCAACGTGTTTCAACTCGGTCCGACCTAATCGGGTCAGGATTTAAAAAAAATTGATTCAGATTAGGTTCTTTTAGAGGTTATATTCGTGTTGGGTCGAGTTTGGGTTTAAGATGAAATATACATGACTCAACTCGAAAAAAATATAATTTTACCTGATATATTTAGGGATAATTGTAATAATATCTCTCTATATATTATTTTTAATTAAGTCTATGTTTTTATTGAATAAAAATAATATTTTTAATTAATATATTATTTTGGTTCGGGTCGTATTTGAATTTTATTTCAAAAAATCGGGTTGGGTTCAGGTCTAGTGGAGGATGTATATTTTTTAGTTGGGTCGGGTGGAGGATGTATAATTTTCGAGTCGGGTTCTAATCAGGTGGAGTGTGTATATTTTTGGGTCAAGTCGAGTTAATCAAAAACCTAACCCAACTCGACCCATGTCCATCCCTAATGCTGACTTGTTACCTTACAATAATACCACATCATCATTAATATATATATATATATATTAAATCAGCAGTTTTCTAAATTTTTTAAGGTCAAGTATCAAATTAAAACATAAACTAAACATAAAGTGTGATTTAAAAAAGTTTAAGTACAAAAATAGAATAAAAGTAATAGTTTAAATACTAAAGATGTAGTTTACTCTTCTTTCTTTTCCTTCCCTCTTCATCGTTATTATCGAGCCCCAAATCAATTAAAAAACAGGCCCTCGAGTTTTTCCCTTAGTATTTCTTCAGTATCATTTTCTTTGTACATATTAAAAATTCTTGTTGGTCTTTGTTTTTTTCTCTGGGTTTTCCTCAGATTTCTCTCCCATTTCTTAAATCTCATCGCCTTCCATCTTTCATATATAGAGCTGAAACCAGTTCTGGGTTTGCTTTAAAACTCAATAAAAATGGCTTCTTCGGTCTCTGTCCCATGCCCCAAGGTTTCTTCTCTTTTAAAAATAAACCACCAAAGCCAAAATCAAAAGGTTTCTTTGGCTTTTCCCCAAACTTCAAATTTTACCTCCAAATCTTGCTCGCCATTTGGATCTTCAATCCGGGTACGTGCATTTTCACTATCTCAGGTTAGCTACTTCCATTTTCATACTACTTTTTTTTGGTCATTTCCCCCCTTTATTTATTTACAGTTGAATCTATTGTTTTCGTTTGAATGAGAATGAGACTGTATGTTACTGGTTATGCTTAGTGATCTGTTTGGTTACTTTTTAATATTTTTTTTGTATTTGATATATTATTTTTACTGAATTTACGAAAGAAATAATGTATTTGTTTAACGTTTCTCTCTATATAATGGTAATTTATATTCTGGGTTCCTCCCCCGTCTTGAATTATAATGACCATTTCCAGGCTTACTTTTGTGTTTTGACTGAAATCTTGACTTGTTATTCAAATATTTTCTTCTTCGTAATTGAAGTGTCTCGAATACAGGGATGGACACAGGGGCGGGTGGGGGAAGTAGCCCTAAAATTTAAAGTTCTCTTACATATTTTAGATATTTTCTTTTTATTTTATATTATTAATTTGTTTTCGCGATAAAAGATTTTAAGTTCGCCTCCCTACATGGCACATATTTCCATAACTGGCACATATAATCGAGAATGGCAATTTGCGGTGACAATTATTCGTTTTGGTATGCTGTTTAATTCATTGGTTTTATTGATATCTGGCTGTCATTTGTAGCGGCCTAATCGAAAGCAGACTATGGTCTTCACGAGCCATACGCAGCTTAACGAGGTATAGTTTTCACTGTGAAGTTGAAAATTTTAATCTTTAGATGAGATCTTATCAACGTCCATTAAACCTGCTTTGTAAAAATTAAGGTTGCAGAGATATCGTCGAATTCTGTAGCAGGTGTTGACGCAAAACCCAAAGTTGCATTGCCTAAGCAAGATAATAAAATATCGGCAGAGAATACTACTCCGGATGCTTCAGCAATCTCGACATTCATGGCACAAGTATCAGACCTTGTTAAGTAAGTTGATAGAAGCATTTCCGTAGTTGTGAGCAAACTTGGGTAAATGTGTGTTTGACAAAAAGAATCTGATTCATAGTCAATGTCGATTTTACTTTTGATGGGTAGGCTTGTTGATTCACGAGATATCGCTGAATTGCAACTGAAGCAACTGGATTGTGAGCTCGTAATAAGAAAGAAGGAAGCTTTGCAACCACCTGAATCATCATCTCCAATTGTCATGCCACATTACATGCCTCAAGCGATGTTTCAAACTCCACCCCCGGCAGCCCCTGCTCCTGCTAGCCCGACCCCTCCAGCACTGGCACCTTTGTCACTCCCCCCTGCTAAAACAAGCAATTCTTCTCATCCTCCCCTCAAATGCCCCATGGCCGGAACCTTCTACAGGAGTCCTGCACCGGGTGAACCACCATTTGTCAAGGTAAGTGCCTGCAGATTTCTGTTAATGGCCATCTGCATTTTTTCTGCTAATATACAAAGGTTGTAATACTCCATCGATGGTCGTTCAGGTAGGAGATAAAGTGCAGAAAGGCCAAGTTGTCTGCATCATTGAGGCAATGAAATTGATGAACGAAATCGAAGTAAGTTCACGCCCTCGTATTTCCTTAGCTTTGTTCATCTCTTGACAGTTCAAACAAATATAATCAACCATTAAATTGTGCTTCCTATATGTTATCATACACAATAGCTTGCCAATGTCAAAAGTAGTCGTTAGTTTCGACAAACTCGCTCTGGAGTTGATTAATTTCTGGTTTCTCAGGCTGATCAATCTGGAACCATAACGGAGATATTGGTAGAGGACGGAAAACCAGTTAGTGTAGACATGGTAACCTCTCACCTCTAATTATCTCTTATGTCTCAGATTATTGGAGTGAGCAATTCAGTGGGTTTGACTCGGTTTAATTTGTAACTTGCAGCCGCTATTTGTTGTTGTGCCTTGAACAAAAAAGGGTTCCAATTCCATGTGCTGGTAGCTTTGTGAGGAACAATGTTTTGATTTACTGTGTAATGGTTTAAATTAATATGAAAAAAATAAATAAAAACAATGGTGCTGTATTGCTTGCTTAAATCACCATGGCTTGGGGTTTCAGTGTGAGATTCTACTATTTGGCCTTAGGTTTGGACGTTTACCCAATTAAGAAAAACGAATAAAATAATCTTCAAAAAAAATTGATTGAATATTTTAAAAAATTGTATCAATAATAAAATTATAAAAGTAATATTTAACATATAATAAAAAAATAATCTTTTTTTTATTGTCCTCTTGATTCTTTAAGATTTTATCTTGTTCAATCTGAATTGATTTATGTTATACATCTAATTTTGGTAAGATAATCTGTTGGCATAAATTTTCTGCAGATCTCAAGTACGAGACCTGTTAAAGTCATATCAAATTACTTATCCAATTCGTCGGTAATAAAGTAACTATCTTTATGTATATACGAAGCTTATGTTACACAAAAAATATATAGGGCCCTGAAACGTGTAGTACTTAATTCCATATGTAAACTTTAACCACTAAAATAATTGATTAATAAAATAAGTTATATGAAAAAAAACCATGTAGAAAATAAGATTAAATAATACGAGTACATGATATCATTAAAAATTTATAATGATCATATCTAATCTTGAATGATATAAGTTATATGAAAACAATCGTGTAGAAAATAAGGTTGATAATAAGAGTATATAATATTTATAATGGTCTATCTAGTCCTGAATGATATAAGTTGTATGAAAAAAAACCATGTACAAAATAAGGTTGAATGACAAGAGTACACGATATCATTAAAAATTTATAATGGTCATATCTAGTCCTGAATGATATCTTAGAAATATAGACTTTTTTTTTACTTTTAACTAATAATATTTTTACATTAAGTCAATCTTAGGGAACACCCAAACTCCCTCAAACTTATCAAATAAGTTATCAATCCTCGACAATGAATACTTATTATACACAATTACTTTATTTAATCGTTCGTAATCGATATATAGTCTTGCAGGCTATTATTTTTCTTTAAAAATAAGATAAGTGCTCCCCAGAAGGAGATACTTGGACAAATGAACCTTCAGAGGAGATATTTGGACAAATGAACTTTCAGACAACTTGAACTTTCAATTCCTTCAGTTCCATCGGTGTTATGTGACAACGAGTGATAGACATCAGAATCATGCCCGACAATAATTCGATTTTAAACTCTAACTCTATCTGATAATAAACTTGACAACTCCATGAGAAATACGCTCGGGATCTCCTTAACAGCTTGAAGGTAGTCCAATAAGGGACTTGGAACCCTCGAGCCAACAATATGACAAAAAAGGCTTCACAATCTTTACTGATCATATATTGAGCTGACAACATTGAAATCACACGAACATAACTTACATCCTTATTGCCATCAATTTCACATAGCTTTAATTGCTTCCCTCGACACCTCAAAATTGCTTCATGCTCAAACAATCAATTCATACTTAATATCACATCAAATTCTCTTAAGGGTATTTCCATTTAATCAACCATAGATAATGAACCCTAAATCTCAATTGTTCATCTACAATACATTTTATTTATCAAAACTCCCAGCCCCAACGAACCGGATACATAAACCCCCACACTGAAGTTCTTAATAGGAATACCCATCTCACTAAAGATCTCACTACATATGTATGAATTTTGTCGTCACTGTTTTTCGCCCGGGATGGGAGAAACTTGTACGACTTAGGGATTTTTCTTTGAATTTTTTTTGAAATGTGAGGAGTCACTACCAACCATCTAAGGTGCGATTGGAACACCCTAAAAGTCAGGTGATTTTATTAAAACATTTTATTTTACCAAAATACCGAGTTTTGGAGTCTGCAAAAATCCAAAAATCAGGCTCGAAAGTCAGTTACGCGGAGGAAAGGGTTAGCACCCCCACAACAACCATAAATTGGTACCTAGTTGATTACCCAATTTTGAAATTTTGAGTTCGAACTTTATTTAATCAAAAATTCACTATGGATGCACAATTGAAAAGGATGTTTGATTATTTAAGCCAATAATATTCACCCCTAGCATGAATGCAGGAGATCAATTATTATGCCCAATAATCGAACATTGACTTGGAATTTTGGAAACATGATAAGGTTTTTGAAAAGTATGTTGACCTACTTCAGGAATCACCAGTAGTCACCCCCTGAGCATACTTGCGGGAGATATATCATTGATTCATTGGTAAATCAACATTGCCTTAGTTGTGAAATCGGAATGCAATCAAATAATCAATTATGTCAACCTAATTATACTACGTAATTAATTAAGGCCTCCTCTAACCTAAAGTGTTAAATTATGAAACTTAGAGAGCTTAAAGGTTTAGACCTAAAAATAGAGTCTCTAACATTAACCTAATTGATTTTTACCAATTATTTAGTTGAATAATCGAAATGGTCCTCCAAGCATATTAAATGCGGAAGCCAATTCAGACTATTTCCTAATTTAAAGACTAAGTGTAGTTCTACCTAAAACGGACGCTCTTATTAAAAATCTTAATTAGTTATGATCAATTAATTATTAGAAGTTCAAGGACTAAAGTGTGAAAAGGCTAAGGTTAAGGCTCTAATTATTAACCCTAATTAATTACCCTTTTTTTTATTGAGTCAAATAATCGAAATGAGCCTTCGAGCATCTAAATGCGATAGCTAAAATTGACTTGTTCCTTAAATTAGAGTGTTGGTGTGAGAAATCTAAACAAAGGTTTAAGTCTAAAATCTAAGGCTCTAATTACTAACTAAACTAAGGAACTTGAGCTAAGAGATTAATCCCTAAAAACATAAAACAAACATGCATTTAAAAAAACTAAAACTATACAAAATTGATTTTTAAAGATTAATTACCTATTTACAAATTACCCAATAAATTTAACACAAAATTAATATTAGGGTTAATTTAACAAAAAAAATTTAAGGACTAAATTGAAACACACTAAATTATCATAGTGACCCAATCAAAACAAATAAAAAATAAACATGAAAATTCAGGAATTAAAATAGTGACTTAAATGTAAATACACGATAAAATAAGAGGGACTAATGAATGATTATTCCTAAAATTTGAACATGTTAAATAACAAATAAAAAAGGCAAAATCACTCAATCAATACATCCAAATTCGAAAAAAAATAAAAAAACATGACAAGGAGCTAAGTGCAAAAATGCACTAAAACAATGAGGACTATAACTTGATTTTCCTTTTTATAAGCTAAATATACACTAATAAACAAAAATGCAAAAATTACAGGATCATACCAGTAAGATTAAAATAAAATTAAAATAATCACTACAGGTGACCAAAATGCAAAAACACGGAAGAGTTAGAGGGATTACAATGCAATTCTACCACTTATTTATTTTAGCCAACATTGTTGAAATAAAAGGGAAAATCCCACAATTGGGACAAAAGTTTCGAAACTAAAATATAAAAAACACAAGGCCATGAACTAAAATATAAAAATAAGTCAAAAATTAGGGGACCTATACACGATTTACCCATGAACTTCTACTATAAAAGCCATTTCCCTTTTTTCATTTGTAACCCAACCTAAAAAACTCTCTTTTCTCTTCTCGTAGGTTAACTTCATTGGACCCCACACCTCCGTCCTAATTATCGCTCCGGCCACCATCCACGATGGTCAGAGTTCCTAAACAACCTAGAAACAACTCTAAAAAACTTGATATATTCGCCTAGACCCAAATCGGAACTAAAATCCCCCTTAGCACAACCTAAATACCCTTAAAATAAAGCCTGACCTTTTGGTTTCTGCTACTCCGACGAAACTGCCCCCGATGGCGCGAAGCTCTCCCTCTCTTTGGTAAACTTTTCTATCCCTTTAGATTTTTTTTCTTTTTTCTTTATTTCAAAACTTGCTGAAAAAGAAAAACAATTTTTTTACCTTGAAGTTTTTTTCTTTTGCATTGCTCTCTAAATGAGGGGAGATCCCTTTTACATGTTGATTTTCGGATTTTTATACCCAAAATTTTATAGAGATACAAATAAAAAAAATCCTAATCTCTACTTACTCCTTTGACATTTATTGTTTTCCTCTGCATGTGATGGATTACATTTTTAATGCCCTGATTTTTTTGGGGTTTTGTTGAGATTTTTTATGGTATTTGGTTCGGCTAGGCTTGATGGCAGTGACGATCGACGCAGCTGGAAGTGGGACGAACTCGATTGGCGGAGGCAGAAATCAGATTTGGTAGCGGCACAAGCTTGGGTGGTAGCTGAAAAAGATATATTAGGGTTAGGGTTAGATTAGGTCAGTTTAGGTGTTGGGCTAGGGTTTCAATTTGGTTTGGGCCCGGGTCTGGGTTTGTAATTGGGTATTGGGATTAAATGTTGGGCTCAGGTTTGTAATACATAATAATAAATATTAATTTTTTTATAATAATAATAATATAATAATGGTTGAAAATGGTGACTACAACTGCCCCTCTTTGCTCATTACAGTGGAACTTGAATAGAGCAAAGACACAAAGCACCATTTTTCAACATGATCACTGCTTGTCGAGCTGTGAGTTTTTCTTGTCATGGAATCTTCGTTGGGGATGTAAATCAACCTCATTCTGTGATGGATAAGACACGGTTGAACAAGTTCTTCTTATTATGAATTTATTCTCTTGAAAATACTGACCCAACTCCTTATGTGATGGGTAACCTATAGTGACATTGATCTAACTTTTTATGTGATGAATGAGCCAAGGTCGGTGTTGTTCCAACTCCTTATATGATGGAATCAATGAAATGTTGAACAAGTTCTTCTTATTACAAACTTCTCCTATTGGGAATATCGATCCAACTCTTTCTGCGATGGATGATTCAAGGTGATGCTGATCCAACTCCTTATGTGATGGATGAACCAAGGTGGGTGTTGTTCCATATCCTTATGTGATGGAATCAAGCAAATGTTGAGAAAGTTCTTCTTATTACTAACTTCTCCTATTGGGAATGTCGATACAACTCCTTCTGCAATGGATGACCCAAGGTGACGCTAATCCAACTCCTTATGTGATAGATGAGCCAAGGTGGG